GCGATTAGACTTTGGTGCAAAAACAGGTCATCTCTGTATGAAGAAATTAGACGACTGTGCTTTATTTTGGAGCGAAGAAATACCGAATTTGTGATTTTCCGGGAATTTTCTTTATTTCCTGGAAAATCTTCATTTTTGGAAATGACCGATTCTCAGATTTACAATTCACACTATTCTAAACCTTCGTTTTCACTGTGATCTTCTCATTCCTTCGCGGAGACTTTGGAAAGTGAAAGAACAGTGGGTATATTTTGAATTACTATATTGCACACCGAGCGTGCGGTAATGCTTAGATAAGCAATTCCACGAGTAATACGCGGGCGTGGGATAAGGCGAAGGCTTCTTCATCCCTAGATCCATTAACGGTTATTTGATGGCGGATTTGGTTCGGCGCGAGGAGATTTTCGGGATTTCGATTAGCCGAGGGGTCGTGCTCCCGGTGTGAAAAATAGTAATCCGTAAGTGAGTCATGATTTATGCCGTAATATCGTGCCGTAATAAGGTGGGGCGCTTAATATGTTTTTCGCGAAAGACCCGGCGAGTAATTAATTTACATTCACGCTTGCGGAGGAGGGAAACAGGGAAAAAGGGATGGACAGAGAGAAACAGAAACGCCTGAAGAGGCGAAAGAGGGAGAGAGAGTAAAAGGATCAACAGCGGCGTGGCCAGACCACGACCCTCGTACATCGTCATTAATAATAATTGTAGAGTTAACAAAGGCGGGCCGAGGTGGAATTATTAAATCCGTCAAGAAAGAAAATCTCGTTGTTGGCCCGGCTTTCAGCCGATTTCAGTCCTTTCTTTTCTTCCTTACGCGCCGACTAAACGAAAAGCTACTACCCGCCTTCGTTCGCCTAATTCGCTTAATATCCTCTTCTCGTGGCCAAAGTGTCGGAACAACAAATCACCCCCTTGGTGGTGTTCGCGAAGGATTCCGAAACGATTCGCCGTGTAACTCTTGTTTTCGTTCCTCCCCCACGGTTCGAAATGTCGTATAAATTATTTAAATCGTCGAGAATCAAGTTGTTCCGTGACGATAATACCTCGTAGACAGAGAAAAAGGAGGAAAAGAGTG